AACCTTTTTGGGTAAATGTTTGAGAATTTTACGGGACTCATGCCATAACCTATCAACTCCGGAAAAGGCAGCAGGTGAATCTGGGTCATTGTAAAGTCGATGTAATAGTTGTGTGGGGTCTGCCATTTTTACCAAAGCGTTGGTTTAAACCTTTTTATACCAGCCTCCTTACGTTTAGCTTTTATAAGTCTTAACATCCATTCTCTGCCGGCTATTGCTGATTGTATTTTTGTGACAGGTTTTACTTTTTTCAAGGCAATTAGAGGACTTTCGTCAGGACCTTCCCATTTTCTTTTTAATTTTAGTCGTCTTTGAATATGATCTTCCTTGCGAGTCTTAAGTAGCGCTGATTGATCAATTGGAACCCTTTGTTCTCGAATATTAATTTTTCTTTGTAAATATTTCCTTCTTTTCTGTTCACGTTTTAATTTTGCTTCTTGGTGTTCATCATATCCTTTTTTCCATCTCTTTGTACCTTCAAACTCTTCTGACTGTCCCCTTTTTGTAATTTGTCTAGTTGGAGGAGAGTCAGATACAAGGGGAGCATCAAGACCTTCAGGAATAGTTGGGATGGGAGGAGATGGAGGAAAATCATCATCAACAGGAGCATTATATTCAGGTGTATAAGGAATTCTCCAATTTTTCAACATCTTTTTCCTTTCTAAATTTTGCTTTCTACTCCTAGCCTTTTCAGAAAGTTTCATATACTCATCTCTTCTCTCATTTTTGTAATTACTCAAATGTCGTCTCTTATTTTGTCCATTATCATCCTCCTCAATTTTTCTCTTGATTTTTTGTCTAAGTGTAGGAGGAGTGGGGGAAATTCCGCTCCTTAATAATTTTCTATGCCGACCTTTGAGGTCTACTTGCTCGTTTGGAGAATTTGACAAAGGAGGAACAATATTATATGATAAGGCTGGCGGCTCTTGTGGGTACGCTGAATAAGAAAAATCATCGCTCATCCATAAATCATCGTTATCGTCTGTAATATTTGTTGCGGGTCTAATAACATCTCTATTCATAATTGCTCCTTTGGGGTTAGCTACCATTTCAACTCTAACAGGTTTATTCTCACTTTCATTCCTTAGTTTCAGATATCGTCTAAGTTCTTGGTTATAATGAATATTTTTGGCAGAGAGGTTTTCTTTTTTACTTTTAGCATTCTCCACCGCTCTCTTTGTGAAATCTAAATTTGGATCCCCATAATTATTTGAAGTAAGCCCTCTATAAATCTCTTCTGGTACAAGAATTAATTTTTTTGCCATTTATGATTGATTTTAATAATTTTGATAGGCTTTTATACTAATTGCTCGAGCTAGTTCCATTAGAACAGGAGTGAGAAGAGCAGCAAATACTCCTACTCCTTCACCATTTTGCCTCAAAACTTTTCTTGCTCCCCGTTCACTCCTAGCACGACTCATTTTACGAATAAATTCCGCATGTGGTAATAAACGGTTCTTTTGACGAGTGTTAAGATTAAAACGGGATTTTACAATATTCAAACAAATTTCGACGATTGTTAATAATTGGTTACTATTAGCTTTTCGTAAAAGTTTCTTGTTTCTCCTTTCAGATTTTGTAAGCGCCAAAGAGCGTAAAAATTCTTTATTCTCACAAATTAATTGACTAAACATTTTTGGAAATGAAAATTATCTTCTCTTCGTCGTCCTTAAATATGTTTGTCCTAAGTCTTAGATTAGGATCTGATGAGGCATGCAAATCAATGAGTAAATATCCGTATGGCTCATTTGTTGCCTGTTTGTACGCATCTAAAAAATAATCGAGTTGACGTGGAAATAGCTGTACTCCGATATTTCTCACAGATAGTGCAGAATTCGGCGACCTCATCAAAACAATATATTGGGCATTTTGACGAGCGACCTTAATCTTTTTCTCAAATAGGTTTTGGGTAACAAAAACAACTGCAAAATTTTGATGGTGGGACTTTTTAGTGAATAATTCCGAAAGATATTTTTCATCTATGGAAAGGAGCAAGTCATCAAGTATTAAAAGCAAAGGTTTTGAATAACTTTTTATTAACTCCTCTGGGGGAACTCCTGCATATACATTAACTCCAGATTTTTGAAGGAGAGGGATATTATCGTTCATCTCCCCAAAACAATATAGTACACTTTTTGGAGGGGGATCGATCAAATCTTGGGAGTCTGCTATAAATTTCAATAGGAAAGAGCTCTTCCCACTAGAGCTTGGACCAGACAAAATCATACCAAAAGGTAATTTAAAATACAAATCTTTATTAGTAAATGATTGCGATTCCATAATTAAAAATATTTACGCTAAAAAACTAAAGTTTATATAGGAACATTTGTATCATCCTTTTTCTCATCTGACTCTTCCAACTTCTTCGGCGATGAAGTTAATCCAGTCGTAGCTGCCATTAAACTATCATAAAATTCTTGGAGCTCATTCTCAAACTCTACATTATCAGGAGGTGTATCAGGACGAGAGGTATTGGAAATAACATTTGGACAATCAGCTGGAGGTACAAGAGGGGTGAGGGAAATTTGAGAAGGTAGGTTAGCAGGAGAAGGCGTGGAAGGTGAAGGCAATTCATTCAATTTCCTTTTCCCTCTCTTTGGATTTTGATGGATAATTTGTTGTGGTTGTACTCCATGAGGGACATTGAAAACTCTTCCCTTATTTTTGATTTTGAAAAAGCATTGAGTGGGTAAATCATAAATTGTATCGAACGGAACAAATCGGGTACCAGATCCAATTCGTGTACAGTAGATGGTAATCCCTTCCATAGTCACAATAAAGTCAATTTCCACTTCAGTGCTCTTACACTCCTTACATCTCCCTGACTGATCATAAGGAATAAATCGTGGAGTGGTAAGGCGGGAACTTAAAACAGTTATTCCACTCGAAGAGATATTGAAATCAACTTCAGGGAGGATTTGGGAAAACAAATTTTGGTTCATTTTTAAATAATGATACAAAATTCAAAATCTCCACCTTTTTATACCTGGATTTTCAGTGAATTACAAAAAAAACTTGCACGCCCCTAAAAGCACACGCACACCCCCAGAGCACGCACATACCTAAAATGCCTTGTTTTTAATAAAAATTAAAAATTTGCATTTTCTTTTTCCAAAATTTGCATTTTTCTCCCTAAAATCTAGTACTTCTTAAGTTTTAAATTGTACAAGTTTTTTAATAAAATTATTGATTAATAAGGTTGTAAGTACATGATTACTACTTATAGGATTATTAACAGACAAGCAAGATTTTATTGCCAGCCGCATATTTTAAAATTACTAACCCCTCTTTTGGGTTTTTCATTCCTCCCCACGAACTGCCCACTTCCCTTTGATCTTTGCCGATGCACTCTCCCTTTTATCGGACCCCTCCACCCCCTCGAGATTGTCCACTCCCTTTGATCTTTACCGCGGCATGCCCTCTCCCTTTAGGTTTTGTCGGACCCCTCCACCACTTGATGGGGATTAGCTTAGTGCCAGCCACGACGGTGACTGTGGGTTAACTACTTTTATTTAAAATTATTTTTAAATAAAATACAAGTAAAAATACAAAAAGCAAAAAATTCTGATTTATTATTTATCAGATAAAACACACAAATCAGAAATAAATTCAGAATTTAGGAGAGAAACAAAATTCTGATTTTTTAAAACTTGTTTTGCAATTTTAAAACAAATTCTGATTTTCTATTTAATAATAATTCTGGTTTAAGTCTTAAAAAATATTAGTTGTGTTGTAATAAAATTCTGATTTTAAAACATCACCTTTATTTAGAAAGACATCAGAATTTTAAATAAACATGCTTTTGAAATCAGAATTTCTTATATAAACATGTTCTTAAAAATCAGAATTTTAAATAAACTTGTTTTTAAAAATCAGAATTTTAAATAAACTTGTTTTTAAAAATCAGAATTTTAAATGAACATGTTCTTAAAAATCAGAATCTTAAATAATAATTCTGATTTTATTTATTTTTGAAAAACAGAATTAATTTCAGAAAATTAACCACTTAATAATATTTTTATTAATAAATTTCAATGATAATATTTTCTAATTTAAAAATAAAATTATTTAATTAAACACTAATTGGTTGCTAATAATTAAAATATTTAGACAATCCCCTAATAATAATCCCTTAATAAATTTTAATTTTTTAATTAATTAATTCTAATTTATTTTTGGTAGCTGACAAATTAATTTAAATTTTAATTAATTAAAATTATTAAAAATAAATTTAAAATTAAAATTAAAATAAAAATTAATAATTCCAAGTATTTATTCATTTTAAAATAATAATTATTAAAAAAATTATTTTATCAAAAAAGCAAAAATATTTAATTTTATGACAAATAAAAAAATATTTATATTTTTTAGTTTAGTAAATTCTCTTTTATTTATTGAGATCAATTCTGTCAATAATACAAACTTTTATTGGCTGCTTTTATTTTTGTTTATAATCAATAGAAGAATTAATTTTAAGTAAATATTTAATTGAAATTAAATTAAATTTTGTAGGTATTTTAATTTAATTAACAAAAATCAGAATTAGTAATGTTTTATAAAAAGCAGAATATTAAAACCTGTCTCAACAATGTTTTAAAAAACCAGAATTATTTTCTTTGTGATAAACCAGAATTAAAAATAAACAAAAAAATACATAATATTCAGAATATTGTAAAGGAAACAAAATTCTGATTTTTAAAACTTGTTCAGAAACTTTAAAACAAATTCTGATTTTTATTAAAACAAAAATTCTGATTTCAAGTTTTAAAAAACAATTTTGTTTTAATAAAATTCTGATTTTAAAACTTGAAAAAAAACAATTATTTAAAAAACATCAGAATTTTAAATGAACATGTTTTTAAATAAACTTGTTTCTAAAAATCAGAACTTTTTTTAAACAAAATAATTTTAAAATCAGAATTTTCATAATAACACTGAACAGATATATATTAATTAATATTATTTTATTTAGTTATTCATTTATAAATTTAAAAAATTTTTTATTTTCGCTCCATATCATCATTCCATTCTTCCTCTTCTCCCCCATTTATTTGTTGTTGATTATTATCCAAAAGATTATCAATAAAAAATCTGTTAGCCTTATTTTGTTTTTGGGGTGTTAATAATAAAGGTGATAATTGTGGGCTAGATTCTGTAGCTGATGTTGAAGAACAAGAAGAGGAGAGAGAACAACGTCGAAACAAATCTACACCCATTTCTGGTGGACAAAGAAAATTTGAATTTGAAGCAGACGATGTTACTATTAATTGTTGTTGTTGATTATCATTGCTAAGGGTTGTTGGGCATCTTTTGGAGTGTTTTCGATGTTTGGCACGTCTGTTTTGAAACCAAACCTGGAAAAAAGTTTTTGATTTTAAAGCTTGTTTTAATTAAATTCTGATTTGTTTTAATTGTTTTAACTAAATTTTGATCCAAGTTTGTTTTAATTTAATTCTGATTTTAATTTAATTGAAACGAAACATGGATGTGAGTTTTAAATCAGAATTAAATTAAAACAAATGTTTCAATTAAATTCTGGTTTTAATTTTGTTTTTATTAAATTCTGATTTAAAGTTTGTTTTTTAATTTAATTCTGATTTTGTTTGTTTTTATTAAATTCTGATTTAAAGTTTGTTTTTTAATTTAATTCTGATTTTGTTTGTTTTTATTAAATTCTGATTAATATATACAAAGTTTTGCTTCAAGTTTCTATTTAAATTCTGATTTTTATCATTTTAATATAAAATATGAATTCAGATTTTTTAATAGGATTATTGAAAAAAGTATTCTACCTGTATTCTTGCCTCACTTAATCCTGTCTGCAAAGCAAGCCGTTCTCGTAAACAAACATCTGGATATTGGGTCTTTTTAAAAACAGTTTCTAATTGTGCAATCTTTAAAGTTAATATCAATTTTTAATTTAAATTTAATTTAAAAAATACCTGCTCATTATTAAACGTTGTTCGACTTCTTCGACAAGAAGGAAAATTTTTTGGATTTATTGAAATTGAATTATTTGGAGAAGACGGGGAAAATTGTGGCGATGTCTCGCAATCATCCAAACTTGCTGCAGATTCGTCCATTTGAATTTGAGCTTGATATGAAGCTGAAAAATGTTCAAATAAAATTCTGATATTTATTTAAATTTGTTTTGAATAAACCCAGGTTTTAATTAAATTCTGGTTTGGTTTTTAATGCTGTTTTAATTAAATTCTGGTTTTTAAAGTCTGTTTGAGTTCATTAAGGAATTGTTTTAACTAAATTCTGAATTAATGTTTTAATTTAATTTTGATAATATTTGTTTTGATAAAGTTCTGATTTAAGAGTTGTTTAAATTAAATTCTGATTTTAATTTGTTTTAATTAAATTCTGGTTTTAATTAATTTCTGATTTAATTTGTTAAAACCAAATTCTGATTTAATGTTTTAATTATATTCTGATAATGTTTGTTTTGTCTAAATTCTGATCAAGTTTGTTTTAATAAGATTCTGGTTTTAATTAATTTCTGATTTAATTTGTTTTAATTAATTTAATGTTCAAATTAAATTCTGATTTTAATTTGTTCTATTTAAATTCTGATTTCAAGTTTTTAATTAACATGTTTTAATTAATTAATTTCTTATAGAAACACTTACAAAGCAGCGACGAAAAGGTAAACTGCAATTTTGCCAACTGGTCCATAGCTTCCAACGGTGGGGTAATATTATTTTCTGATGAATTCATTTTATTAAGTATTCCTTTAAATTATATTTTAATTATTTTATAACGAGAATAAATTGGTTAAAAAAGAGATTTTTAATGAAATGAGCTATTTAATGGGAGTTTTTTTAATAAAAAGGGGGGAGAAGGAAGAATAAAAATGAATAAAAAAATAAAAATGAAGAAGAGCTAATTTTCTTTAATTTTTTTTTATTATTTTTTCCACTCCAATTTACATAAATAAATATATTAAATAATAATTCCCCCTCTCATTTACGCAAACGGATTTCCCTCTTTATTTCCCTCTATTAAAATGCCCGAAGCGGTGATGTGGAGAGAGACATTGGGGTGAAGAATAAAATTAAATGATGATGAGATGAGGATTAAAAAAAGCAGTGTGAAGAGGGTTATATGTGTAGTTTTTTTTATTAATTAATACAAAAAGCCTAATTATTTAAATAATTCATTAAAGTAAAGGTTTCTTCTCTTTCGTCTTTTTCTTCGTCTGCTTCCCTCAGACAACCTAATTAATTATTTAATACAGTCAAATCTACAGTCAAGTCTCAATAACACGTCAACCACCTCTCCTTTTTACTTCTTAGCAACTCGGTATCATAGGTAAATATCAACGAAATTCGACTGACCCTTTTGTACATATAAAAGAAAAAACTTGGGAAAGGAAAAATAGGCCCTAAGTGATTGGGCTTCCCAGAATATTTCATATTATAGTCCAATTAAGTTCAAAATAAGACGAAATGACTGAAAAAGGGGGATATTTATAGGAACGATAGAGGGCAAAAGAGTTAATTAAATTAAAGAAAATTAAGTATGATTTATGGGCAATAAATAATTAAATGAGAATATGTTATAGAGCAATGTTTTAATTAATTAAATAGGGGCAAGTTTTGTAATTAAAAATGTTTTGAGGGAATAATTTGTGAGAAGCAGACAAAAACATTTTAAAAAATAGATAACAAATAAAAACATCAGAGATTAATTAAATTCTTATTTGAAGTTTGTTTTAAATTCTGGTTTTTGAAAAAAGAGAGAGAGGAATAAATGAAAATCAGAATTTAATTAAAACAAATGTTTAGATTAAATTCTGATTTAATGTTCGTTTTTATAAAATTCTGGTTTTAGTTTTGTTTAGATTAAATTCTGATTTGCTTTAAGTGTTTTAACTAAATTCTGATTTTTTGAAGAGAGAGAGAGAGAAACAAATTATAAATCAGAATTTAATTAAAACAAATGTTTTAATTAAATTCTGATTTTTATCTATTTCTCTCTCTCTCCCATTTTCCTCTCTCAATTTAATTCCTTTCCCTCATTTCCCCTTAAATTTTAATTAATTTCCCCTCTATATATTTTAATAAAACAAATTACGAAAAAATCCTTCAATTACGCCAAAACTAAATTAATTTTACTTCTTTTTTCTTCTTCTAATAATCTAAGCAATTAAGTATTGAAAACGACATTTAAAAATGAGAATAAAAAATAATTAAAATAAATATTTGGTGCAAATTAAGATTAAAATAAAAGATTTTTTTTTATTTCGCAGCGCAAATATACACATTTTTATTTATTTTATAAATATTTTTTTAAAAATGTCTAAAGGCGTAAATGAGGAAAGGATGACGCTAATGAGTGTTTAAACAAAATTAAAAAAATGGGAGGATGATTATGATTATTTAATTTTAAATTTAATGAAAATTGTAGAAATAAATGAGGAAAGTTGGGAAATTTTAAAAAATTTTAAAAAAATTGGCAGAATGCCAAAAAAAATTTTTTTAATTAAAAATTTATTATTAACCTATCGAAAATGACTATAGATCATATACATAAAATCGAGGAATTTTTAATAAAAAAGAATTAAATTGGCAGAAAATAAAATTAATTTAACCAGAATAATTTAATTTTAAATTAGAGTTGATGTTACATTTTCGGCTATAAAAAGCCTATGCTTAATTTAAAAAATCTAAAAGTTTGGAATTATTTAAGAAACATATTAAAATATATTTTTGCAAAATTTTAGCTTTTTAAATTGAAGGATTTAATAAAATTAAAAATTTTAAAGGCTTAAAGTTAAGGAGAAACATTAGCTTATAATTAAGGAGAAGCACTAGAAGTAGGCTTTTAGTATATTAGTTAAAAAGTACTTAGAGGCTTGAAATTTTGCAGAAATATTTTAAATAGAGTTATTTACATGTTTTAAAAATTTCAGAATTTTTGGTTATATATTTGAGAAATTATGGATAAAATACCAGAATTTATGAGAAATTGTCGATTTTAGGCCGATTTTTGGCCATAACTTTGGAAATATAAAACCAAAAATTCTGAAATTTATAGAGAAGTTAGATAACAGTCTTAAAATTATTTGTACAAAATTTCAGAATTTTCGGTTATATATATCAGAAATTATGGACAAAATACCAGAATATATGAGAAAATTGTCGATTTTCGGTTGTTTTTTGGCCATGACTTTTGAAAAATAAAACCAAAAAGTCTGAAATTTATAGGGAAGTTAGATAACAGTCTTAAAATCATCTGTGCAAAATTTCAGAACAATTGGTTCGTCCCTAACTAAAAATAGACGCACGCGTTAACTCTTATACTACAAGACATCATTAACAAGAAAATGAAAAAAATTTTCATTAATAAACCAAAATTATTTCTTTTAATATTCATTAAACTAAAAAGCTTTATTCATTATAAATATTTAATTAATTTTTGAATAAATGTAAAGTATTAATGATAACAAGAATTAATTATAATTCTAAAAAGATGCCTTAGAGGAAGGGTTGTTAGGGCGCAGGACGCGGCACGAGTTTATTTTAATTAGTCAAACGAGAACATATAATTCTGAAATCTCTTAAAGTTAACTTCAAGGCGGTTATCTAGCCTCTAGAAAAATTTCAAAAAATTTTCTTGTTTAAAAATTCCCAAGTTATTGACAAAGGAGCATTCACAGACACAAATTCGACATTCACGGACATAAAATTCCATAAGTTTTTAACTACTGAATCAAAAATTCTCAAATTTTTAGAGCTAATAGCTAACACTTTTAACTATATTTCCACAAAATTTCAGCTTTCTAGCTTTTAAATTGACTATTTTATAAGGGTTTAAAATCCGCCCACGCCCTATATTTCCGCGCCCAAACATCCATTCTCATCATTAGCCAATTTAATTAATTGGACATCATTACATTTAAAATAAAAAATATATATTTACGTAAATATGTATTTATTAATATATTAATATAGAAAAAATAAGAAATTAAAAAAATTGCCGGCAAATTAAAAAATAAAATAAGAAACCATAAATAGAAAATTGTCACAAAATCTTCTCCTCTATATAGAAAATCCTTAATAAATCCTTCACTAAATTGGTTAAAACGATTTTTACATGCAAACTATAAATAATAAACTTACATAATATTATTATCGTCATCAAAAAAAATTTTTTTTTGAATTTTTAATAAACAAATTAAAAAAATATTTTTTTGCAGTTTTTTAAAGATATTTTTATTTAATTGGCGTAAATTTATTTTTTTTATTTGAGGGATTTATTTGTACTTTTTTTGACTTTATTTAGATAATATTTAAATAAACAAGTAATGTACTATATTACGTAAATTAATAAATAAAATAAATTTTAAAAAATAAATTTTGTTAGGGGTAAATAATTTGTGGCGGGGAGATGGGGTAGTAATGAGAGGCGTAAATTTAAACTTAAGTTTGCAAGCAATGTTTTAAATAAACTTGAGAAAAATAGGTAAATAAACTTAAGTTTACAACCCTAATGTTTTAAATAAACTTGAAAGAGAAATAAACAAGTTTGAATTAAGTTTAAATGAACTTGCTATATTATAAACTTAAGTTTGCAACAAGTTTTAAAAATAAACTTGAATTAATAAACTTGAATTATTTAAATAAACTTTTTTACCAACAAGTTTAAAACTTGTTTGTTTAAACATGTTTTTAGAACTTTGCAACAAACTTAAAAAATAAACTTAAGTTTACAACTTCACTATTTTTAAGTTCCTAATAAACCCAAGAAAATGAACTAAAGTACAAATAAAAAATTAGGTATTTTTAAAAAATAATTTATTTAATTGTTAAATTTGTATACAAAAATCAAAAATATAGTCAAATAAATAAAACAAAAAAAATAATAATTATTATTATTTATTTTCTTCACTATTATTTAAATTTTCCAAAGTTCCCAATCCAAACTCAACAACAAATAAATTTTCTTCCCTTTCTTCTTCCTTCAATTCTTCCTCTTCCTCCTCTTCTTTAATAATTATGTGTGTATCTGTTGATTGTTTAAATGACCATTGATGAAGTTCATTTGCTCCTACACACAAAGAATTTGTATCGTCTTGAATTCCTCCTCCCCCTCCAGATATTTTTTTCAATGATAATTCTGAGTGGAAACCTCTTCGTCTTTTTTGCCATTTTCTTTAAATTTTGAAAAAAATTTAGAAATATTTTCTAAAAAATTAAGAAGCTAAAATCCGTAAAATAGAGGTGTGACTCTCATTATAAGCTACCCTCTATTTTATGAACTCTTTATATAGTGGACTATTTTTTAATTAATGGGAAGGTATACTAGAGGCCTTATAATTTGAGGAAAAAATTTTTTTCAAAAAAAATCTCCCACTTTTTATTAGAAGCTGCCAAAACAGCGTCATGTATTGTTGGGTAAAATTGTTCTTTTGGAACAGAATTGAAAAAATTACAAGATTCCAACATATCACGAACTGGAGCTTTCGCACCAGCAAAGAGTACATTAATATTTAATTCACAAAGTTGATGATATAACTTTAAATTTTATTTTAAAATTAAAAAATTGAATAAAAAAATTTTACATCAGCTAAAGCATTAATACTTGTATAATCTACAAAAGTAAATCCTGTACAGTCAACTATAAGGCTTTTAACACCGCTAGATTTTATTCTTCTTTCCAACTGTTTAAAGTAAAATAAAAAATTAAATAAACTTGAGTTTGTAAAATTTCAAGTTTGTAAACCGACA